TTTTGATTCATTCAGCATGAATTTGTTAAGCACCGTGAAAAACACTAACCAGATACCGGAAGCCCCTACAAGACTGTCTGAGCAGGAAAGCATTCAATGAGCACCTAGACAGCCAAGCATCAGAAATGTAAGGTGATCTCAGTTACAGTCTAAGGGGTCTGAGAAAAGGATCTAGAAGCTTCCTTATCACTACGGGCATCTTACCTGGCCTCCCAGCCTCAAGTCTTTCTCCTCTCCAATTTGTCTTCCACACCACTGCCAGAGAAGCATTCTTAACAGGTGTGATCATGCTACTGTTTCTACCACCACTACCACCACCACCTTCAATGGCTCCCTATGGCCTCTTGGATAAAATATTCTTCAGTTCTTCCACAATCTAATCACGATTTGTCTTTTCCACCTCATTACACATTTTCCCAATAATCCTACATGACTACTTAAGATCATAAGATAATAGATTTGAAGGTCATCAAAACCATTCTTCTACAATGGAAAGATGGATGACTTAGAAATAAGAGGCTCAAATCTCATCTTTGCCAGGTGTGGTGATGCAAGCCTGTAATCCCAGATACTGGAGAGATGTAGTTAGTGGATGGCTTGAGTACAGGAGTTCTAAGCTGAAGTGTATCGAAAGTCTGCGGGCTGTCTACACTAAGTCCAGCACCAATATGATGATCTCTTCTTTGGGAGAGGAAGGCCACCAGGCTGCCGGAGGGCTGAACCAGTCCAGGTTGGAAATGGAGCAGGTCAAAGCTTGTATGCTCATCAATAATGAGATCAAGCCTTTGAGTAGCTGCTGAATCTTCAACCTGGGTGAGATAGAGAGATCAAGTCTCCCCCCTCCAAAAAAGAAATCCTCTCATCTCTAACAGTATCTGCAGAATCTCAGAGCAACTTATCATCTGTGAGCCCTGGTCCTTCATCTCTCAAATGGAGGCTTAGATTGAGATCTCTGAATCCATTCAAGCTCTAAAGATATGATCTGCAACTTAAGGACAGTATATGTGGTTCACCATCCGATCCCTTTGTTTTTCAAATGAAGAAATTAATGCCTGATAAGGCAAAGTGTTTTGCTCAAGGCTTTTCAGGGAGTCAAGGAGTAGTATTAGTATTTGAACTTGGGTCCTCTCTCCAAATTCAGACTCTCCCTACTGTGCCGTGATCCATGCGTTCCCCAGGGCAGTCCAACATGCTTAGGAGGCACAATCTTCTCATCTTTACCTCGTAGAATTCTTGAAGACTCAGCTAAGATGTCACCTTCTCTGACTGACCATTCCTGATTCCCCCACCTGCCCCAGTTAAAAATGTTCCCTCTGATCTCAGAGATTCCCAGACCACTTGGCCTGGATCTCTTTTATCTCCTTTCCTTCTATTATACTATCTTATAAGTGTTACATTCCTTCCAATAGAACATAAGCTCCCCAGGAGCAGGGACCATTTCATTTTTTATTCTGAATCTCCCATGCCTAGCATTCAGCAGGTGCCTAATAAATGTGTGGAACTTCACTCCCTGTGTTCAGCAAAACAACTGAGGCACACACCCAAATTGATTTTTATTTTACATACATAGGAAACAGGACCCTATCAAAAGGTACTTTATTATTATTATTATTTTTTTACTAAAAATAGAAAGAAAAAAAGAAACAAATCATCAAAAGTTTTGCAGAAGAAAAGCATGCATAGAACCTGTAAGGGACTTTGGGGTTTTGCCTGTGGATTCTGCCGTATCGCTAGGTAGGGACTAAATGACTTCACCATACCAGGAGCAGAGCTCGCTGTTAAAAGATGAAGAGGTGGGTAGAATCCACCGACATTAACAGAGGAAATGAGAACTGTAGGAAAACTTCCCCAGAAGTTTAATTTCAATATACAGTATCAGAGTTCACTGTAACTGGGTGCTACCCCATATTTCTGGGAAAACATTCTTTCTTGCACATATATGACATTGTAGAAAACTGTAGATCACCACCAATCTTCTAGCATCTGAGGGCTCTTGCCCACCCCTCCCCACCCAAAAAGCTTCTCTCATGGCTATTTGGGTCTTTGCTACTCAGCGGGACTGCCTGGGTCTGGAGACAGCCTGATGACATTGCTTCTTTTTTCAAAACAGGTGTGTATAAATATTAATATACATATGTCTATGCCTATATGCATTTCTGTATATTTGCACACATAACCAGGAGAAAGGTAGACTTTTTGACCCGAAGATTTGTTCCTTAGGTGGGAAACTTGTGTAGTCCTTTTCTTCACATCCAGGATATGAGTCTGGGGGCATCTTGGCTAGGGTGCAGGAACCTGAAGCAGCCCAGGTTGGCCATGGTTCCTGGCAGCAAGCTTGCAGGACAAATTTCATCTTCATCCATTGGACTTTCCTTCTTTTTGTTAGCATGTCTTTGTCAAAATAGAATTCCCTAGAACACTCTGATTCTCAAAGTGGACTTCACTTTAGATACATATGGGTCCCCTCAAAACGCAATGCTGCACATAGAATTCCCATAAAGCAGGCGTTCTTAAGCTGGGGGAGGGATGCAGTATGAATTTGGATGGGAAAAATTATATTTATTATCAATAATCTCTAACTGAAATGTAGTTCTTAAATTATGAATTTTTAAAAACAATTGTTATTCAGAAGGGGTCTCTAACATTAAAAAAAAAAGTTAGAAACTCCTATTCCAGAGAGAGCTGGATATAGGAAGCTGAGCTAATTTTTCTAGGATGCAAAGAATAAACCTCAGAAATTTGTCTGCCCAAGTGTTATAGTTAGCAATTTCAAAAAGATATTTTTCATGTGTAAGGAAAAATAAATACCTGGTGGATGGCAGGGGTGTGCTGTGGCCTGTGTGTCACCTTTGGCATTAAGTGATGGATCAGGGCAACATCTGAGTTGAATTCTTTTAACTAACCCTAGAGAAAGACATTTTGTTTGAGGGCCTCATCTCCTTGGACTGCACTTGGAGATCAGGGCCTAGGAAAGTAAATGTTTGTTACCCAGAGAGTCACATTTTTGAAGCATATCCTGAGATTGAATTAAATCACATGTGGACTGCCTCAGGCTTCATGCTGACTTAACTACCGGGGAAAAGAAAATCCTTAGAGATTTTTGTGCTTTTCAGAAATCCACCTGTAATCTCAGGATTCTTATCTCTTTCCCAGCTAGAGCTCCCCTATTTGAGAGCCCCGGAGAGTAGGCTTGAGACCCCTAGGGAGCCCCTGACCTCTGAGTTAATAAGTACTGTCACCAAGACTCTTAGTTATATCTCTAAGACTCTAATGGCTGACTGACTGTCCACACTTGGGCACCAGCAGTGGTGTTTCTGTGAAGGGGTGGTCACAGGCTCCCAGGAGAAGTAACATAAGAAATCTAGAAATGTTTGGCCCTCAGTTGAGGGTTCACTCAGGATTAGCAAAGGCAAGATGGGGAAGGGAGTTTTCTCAGGAAATGTCCCAACCTTGTGGAATTTGATTATTTGCTTTCAAAAGACATATAAAACACAATGGGACCCACTTCTTCACAAAGGTGGGAGACTATGAGTGTGGAATACTGCATATAAAAACAGACTTTTTTCAATTTGTTGGTTAGTTTTCCTTCTATTCTTTGTTATAAAGGGTAGCTCTTGTGGGGAGAGGGGACTTATTGGGAAATGTAGGTGATGTAAAAACAAATGGTATCAATAAAAATTATTTTAAAAAACCATTAGGGTGTCATTTCTACATTTCAGAGAATACCTTTTACTAAATGCCTCTGAACCCAGGAGTGATCATTCAGTGGCTGTTGATCAGTTTCTACCCAGAGACCTTTCAGAGAACATCACTGCTTTCAAGAAGGAAACAGGGGAGCTTTGGGCATAAGGAGGGGTGGGATGGCTGACAGGAGACATAGGAAATCAACATGAGATTAGTCCAGAGATGTCTCTCTCTCCTTCAGCTCCACAGTTCTTCCTGAAGGACTACGAGGTCATCATTGTCATCATCCCATGGGAATGGCCTTTCCAATATGCCCTAGGTGAAGGAAAGCTGTTTTCCCCAAGGACACTGGTGTTAAAAACACATTACCGTGCCTATCTATGGCTGAGCGCCAGAGACAGTTTTTCTAGGAATTCCCAAATCCCTTAGTGATTTCTGGAGAACCTCAGGCTATCAGTGGGTTGTTCATTTTGTCCCAATCTTTACCCTACATGAAGTATGACTCTTTAGTCTACTTTCAGGTCCAGAATGAAATGTTTGGGGTGTTAATGTAGTTGGTGAAGTGATGTAGAGGCTTCTTAAGATGGATATCCTCCTCTCCCCTCTTCCCACTCATAAGAAAGAAGCGTGAACACCTTGGACATCAATGCAACAAAGGGAGAATCACTAACAGGAGAGGCGCTGCCAACAGGTGATCCCAATGCATCTCGTCTCTCCACCAGTGGATAGGTCAGAGGTTGGGCTGAGCAGGACCTGAGTGTTCCTGAGGCAGGGACCTTTCTGTCCAGCAGAACAAAGCTTGTCATGGAAATGCTAGGCCCCATCTTTTTAGCTGTTTCCTCTCTGCCCTTAAAACCAGGAAAGAAAGATCTGTTCCCTCCCAGGACCTGCTTGGACTAGCTTTCCCTATAGATCTGTGTTTCCTCCTCCCAGATCTGCAGAAGACCACTGAGTGGTGCTGCCAAGTGTCTTGTGGCTCTGACAGACCCCCAAACAACTACTGTACTCAGCCCTGGTGCCTCAACAGCCTGGGAAACAAACAGAAACAATAAATAAACAGAAAACATGAACACACACACACACAATGTGACTTTAAAAGAGAGGTCTCCATAAAACCCTCGGAAGGGGCATTGTGCTTGCTTTGAAGACATCAAAGGAAAATGGACCCACAAGCAGCCCATAGGTCATTCCTCATGACTAACATTGATGGGGACAGGGAGGGTAGAAGGACAAGTATCTCAGAAATGCCGAGGCCCCCTCCCTCAGCTCCCTGTGACTATCGCATGGTGCCTTCTTCCTACAGCGTCAAATCACCTGACTTTCCATCACCACTACTTGGAGGACTTCACCACCTGTTCATAGGGGGGGAGGTGGCGTATTGCAGTAGGAGGGTGGGGGCGGATAAACTGGGGTGCCCTGGGGTGAGTTGGGCTGGACATGGAAAGCCATCGCCATTGGGTTCATCACAGCTCCTCCAGGGTCAGTGTAATACGGCATGCCTGGTTGCTGAGCTCCTGAAAGAAAATGGGGGGGGGAAGATATAAGCATTGTACAAATGAAAAGATTGCTGGATTTGCAGGCTCAGGACATGGGTTAAAACCCTCTCTCTGGTATTTGCTAGCTGTGTAATCTGGTGTAACTCCCCAGGGCCACAATCCCTCATCTGTGAAATGAGGTGGTGGTGGGGTGGTCGAGATGACTTCTGAGGTCCCCTCTAGATCTAACCCTGTGATCTTAGCTGGGCATCTAGCACAAGAGTAAAGCCTTCCCCAAAAGGATAAAAGACAGAGCTGGAAGGGTCATTAATGAGGTAACAGGGAGAACTTGTGCAAAGCCACACTGTTAGTGAATGGCACAGCCAGGACCAGAATTCAGGTCTCTAGGTTCTTAGTAAAGTGCGTTTTCTACCATGCCACCCCTGTTTACTGCACATGACTCCTTTCAGTGGTCCTCTATATTCCAGCCAAACTGACATTGAAACTCTTACCTGTGTCCTTTTGAGCAGACTTTATCACATGACTGGGATGCATTCCTTCTTCCCTTCCATCTGTTAGCATCCCTGGTTTCCTTTAAGACTCAGCTCACGTGACACCTCTCATTTCTCTTTTCTGATCACCTCAGTAACTGATGCCCCACACCCCAACATGTACTAATTGATATATTAGTACATAGCTTGCATTTACAGGAGCTCCTTATTATCAAAATATTCATTATCCAAGTCATCCCCCGCTTCTGACTTTGTATTTTGTCTTGATCTGGATCTATGAAGGGAACTCCCTCTCCCAGTGCAGATCAAAACCTGGTTGGCCTGAGGGTACTGAAGGTTAAGTGACTATCTCAGGGTCCAGAGTCAATTCAGGTGAACTTGAACCCTAATCTTCGTGGCTCAGAGGTCAGGGTTCTCCCACTATGTCAAACTATCTCCCTACAAGTCTTGGGAAGCAAAACATAAAAAATATTGCTAATGAATTAATCACTTAGAAAATTAGTCCCCATTCAAGCATTCTTCCCCCTAAACAAAAATGTCTATCCCAGCCAATTCACCGTCCCCCCCATTACTCTCTTACTTTCTAATTGGCTGATTTTACTTAGGCATTTCAAAAGAGAACAATTTACATATCAAAGAATTAAGAAAAACCCTTGGGAAAATTGATGAAACCCTGGAATATATTTTTTCCAAAAATAGCCATCTTTATAAGTCATAAGTAAGGATGTTGTAATGTGCTGTCATGCAATTTTGCCAGAAAAATTATGCCAAAACCCCCCTAATTAACACTTGGTTCATTCTAAGGATTAAAGCATGGTTTCAATTATAACATTAATTTTGCTAAATATAAGATGAATTAAATTCATTTTCATAATTTTTCATTTCATATTTCAAGATAAATTCCCAATTAACTCTTTTTTTTTAAATGCCACTTACTATGAAAGGTTGGTCCTCATTTTGAGAGGATTCACTTAAATTGGCCTTTTTCTGGTTCCAATTCTTTATTTCTTTGGATAACTGGGAACTCCTCCCATCTGTATTTGTATACATTGTTCCCCTAACAGAAGTTCCTTGAGGGCAGAGATCATTTCATTTAAGACTTTGCAAAGGGTCTGGCCCATGATCAACACTTAAGTGATGCCCGTTGATTTAAACTGAAAATTGAAGACGCCTATGGTCCGCTCTCCCTCCCACACTGTATCCCTGTAATTGCTTCATGAGAGCTCTTCTCTTCAAGTACAAGTGGAATGATTATAAATTGAGGGGACTCATTCTCACTTATCACTCAACATTCTTAGGCTGGATAGATTTACAAACCCATCACAATCCCATAATTAGCTAACTTGCCCAGGGAAGGAGGTAACAAGTCATCCAGATTGGCCTCAGTTTACAGGGAAAGATGCTATTCAATGAACATCTTTGGCAAGCCTGGGAAGAGCAGTACCCATGAGTAAGGGACTGCTTAATTAGCTTCCCCTCCCTTACTAGAGATCCCCTTTTTCTCCAGAACGAGGAAATGAGATGGGGATGGATTTGGGAGATGGTGTTTCCCCCTGCACAGATATTTCCTGGGCCAGAGGAAGGAAACTGAAACACCCCATCATTTCACTTTCACCTACATACTCTGGGGGCCAGAGAACTGAGAGTAGGAGAGGAGGAAATGGTTGTCTTTCCTTCCTTCCTCAAGGGACAAGATGATATGGTGGAAAGTTCTCCAGGCGTGAACTCAGGAGAAACCTGGGCTCTTATCCCACCTTCACCCCTACGTAGCAAAGCAACCTTGGGCAAACTAGGGAATTTTTTTGGATCTCAGTTTCTGTAGAATGAAGGGATTTTACCAGATGGTCTCTAAGGCTTCTTTTCAGTTCTAAAATTTTATCATTCTGAAATGTCAAAGGACCATAGACTTAAAGGCCAAGCTACTCCAACCTTCTCATTTCTGTTGTTGTTGTTGTCATTTCAATCATGTTCAACCCCATTTGGGCACAGCAGAAAAATGATTGGATTTGGAATTAGAGGAGCTAGGTTTAAATATCACACCTCTGCAATTTAGTATTCTTGAAGTTAGGCATGTTACTTAAACCCTCTGGACCTCATTTCCTCATCTGCCAAATGTGGGAGGCTAGACTAGATGGTCTCCTCCTCTAAATCTAGGAATCTGGGAACACAGTTGGAACGTAATCAATGATTGTTCAGTGAATCATTGAATTAACAAACACACGGACACGGCATACATTTCCTGGGGGTAACCATAACCAAACTGAGGCAAACAGGGAGCTCAAACTCGTGCACAAGCTGTGCCTAATTGAAGCCCCAGAGATCTTTACAATCTAGGCTTTCATGGAGGCAGGCGCCTGTATGTACACTGTGTGTTCTCATTTCTGACATGTTTTCTGCAATGTCTGACAGCACAGTAATAATGCCTTAGGTGTAAAGAATGCTGGCTTTCAAGGAGTGCCAAGCATTGGTTTTTTGGCGGGTCCCCTCATTTATTCTAACACCGTCCCTGTGGGCCAAATGATCTTCCAAAGCACAGACATTTCGACAACGTGTCAGAATGCTCTAGGCCTGACATTTTCCTAGCTCTACATCACCTTCAGCAGATTGATGAATATCCTGCTATGGGTGAGGATTTATACCATGAGTCTTAAGAAATTCAGGAAACATAAGGATGTTGAGAAACAGTTGATAGGGCACTGGCACCAAAGCAGTGACCCACATGGAAAGGTACCCACAGGAAGCCATTCAGAGCAAGGCATCATTCAGGGAATTTGGCAGAATTGCTTTGCAGGTTGGTCTCTGGTACACACTTTTTGGGAAAAGAGACTATCTGCTCAGTCCTGTAGAGATTGATGGTAGATACCCCCTTCCCTGTACAGTTGAACACATGTACCCTACTTTATAATACAACACAGTGAGTCTCTGTTTTAAGGATATGTGAATTACACAGTCCTTTACCAAATGGTCCTCCATCCATCTCCTCCAATGTCCCCACACTTCCTAGACTTGAAGGTCCCTGTCACCATCACATCAAAGCCCATCCCTTCCCAACTGTATTTCCTGCTTGAGACTACTCTTTTCCCTCTTCCCTCCTTCTTCTTCACCACATCTGTTGCCACAGTAAATTCAGACCTTGTGAAAACCAGACTGTGACCCAAAACATGGATGGCAACCTGCCAGAGACCTAGACTGACTATAGCTCTGTGCTGAAGAACTGGGACAGCTATCACCGGCCCCTGTGGAAGACTGAACTCCCTGTTACCAGAGCCCCTGGGGTCACCATTGATCCAGAGACCCCCTTCCCCATATCTAAGTTGAGTATGCACTTAATATGGGCACCTGACTGAACTTATGTTACTACAGAATAATACACTGGATACTGATGCAGAGTACAGACACCATGAAAGAGGACTGCAGCAGATGTGAAGGTTTTAGAGCCTTCTCTAAAATTTCATGACACTGGGGACTATTTTATTTAAATGCTGAGTCTCATTCACAGTATTAAGCACTTTCCCCCCCCCCGCCCCTCTTTTGACCAGACCTGTGATTTTATTAGGGCAGAGAGTTCCAGGTGGAGGAAATCCCTGTACCAATGCAAGCTGGCACCTACTCGGTAACTTAGTCTTAGAGAAACGGCTGGCATATTTACTGAGAGGGCAGTTAATCAACTTATGCAGGGCCACATTGCCAGCATGTGTTGGAGGGTGGGACTTAGAGTCAAGACTTCTTGACTCCAAAGCCTGTTCCTAAATCTCCTCTACACCAAGCTGCCTCCCTCTAGGCATGTAATAAGTATTTGTTCAATTTAAGTGAATCAAATTACTACAGAATTCTCAATTAGCCTTTGATAATAGTTGGAAGATGGATGGAATTAGAATTTAAGTGTTGACAATATGAAGTTGAATCAAAGCCTTATTATCATGACAATCTATACCCTGCTACCAAAATGCTACTTTTCATTTCTCCAATTCTCAAGTTTAAGATGTAAAGCATCTAAGGCAGCCAGATTCAGTAATGATCCCTCAGGGTTACAGCTATCGGCACATTATCTGCCTTAACCTCTCTCGGCCTCATCTGTAAAATAGAGATCAATAATACCCGACAAATCTGACAAAAGGGTTGTGAGAATCCCATCAGATAACATCTGTAAAGGGCTTTGGAAATCTTCAAGTGCTGTAGAAATGCCAGCTATCATTATTATTATGTTAACATTACCATTATTATTTTAGCTGACACTGTTGATTTACCTTCAGGTTGTTTTTGTTTGTTTGTTTTTTGTTTTATGTCAATTTTAATATTTTCTCATAAATAAAAAAAAACCATCGTAATGTTTTTCTGCTCTCAGAATCAGTGAGCTATTCCTTCTTCCTTGAAACTCCTGCCTTGATTTCCTCCCCTCTCCCTCACCTCCCCTGACATTTTAACTCAAAAAGTCTAGGGTTGAAGGACTGATAGAAGAACTTCTGGACTCTACCCTCTCCCACCTTGGCAATTTTCATTAATTTTTGAAAGTCTCTCCTCTAATTT